GTGTGGTATACACTGACAATAACCCCTTGAGTCACCTACAGACAGCAAAGTTGGGATCCATCGAACAGCGATGGTCAGCAGAATTGGCACTCTTTGACCTGGAGATAAAATATCGCCCGGGGCGGTCCAATGGCAATGCGGACGCTTTATCAAGGAATCCTTACGAGAGACCGGGCGATGAGGAAGAAACGCTGACAGGAATATGTGAGGTCAGAGCGTCAACAGATATCCCTCACGGGGTGCAAGTGATGCAAAACGGGCAGACCGGGGTGGAGCACATATCCACAGAGCCCCGATATATGGACATCAGTGATTTTAATTGCCTTAATCACAAAGAGATAAGAGATGCCCAGAGAACGGATAGTGGCTTACATCCGCTGTTGAAATACGTCCAGGAACAAAAATTCCCAAGAAGAAGGGAAAGAGAACAGTTTGGTCGAGAAACAAAGAAACTACTGAGTCAGTGGGACCGTCTCAGTATAAAGGATGGTGTTCTCATGCGGAGAATTCATGACCAAATAGATGGGACAATACACCAGGTGGTGGTGCCTGGACAGTTACGAGAAGAAGTGCTAAAGTTGGCACATGACAGGGCGGGACACCAGGGTCAGGACAGGACGCACAAAATATTACGACGGCGGTGCTACTGGCCCAATATGGAGATGGAGGTCAAACGCCATTGTGAGGCTTGTGTGAGGTGTCAGCATGCGAAAATGCCAGTTGTCAAAATGAGACAGCCATCAGGACACCTACTGGCGACAAAACCACTAGAGATTGTGGCTATGGACTTTACGTCGTTGGAGCAATCATCGGATGGGACGGAACATGTGTTGGTGATGACTGACGTTTTCACCAAATGGACTGTCGCGGTGCCCACACGAGATCAGACGTCTAAAACAGTGGCAAAGGTCTTAATAGAACACTGGTTCACCAAATATGGCATACCAATACAATTACACTCTGACCAAGGAAGGGCCTTCGAGTCAGAAGTAATTAACCAACTGTGCAGCCACTACGGGATCAACAAATCTAGAACAACCACATATAATCCCAAAGGAAACGGACAGTGCGAGCGGTTCAAGCGCAGCATGCATGATTTGCTGCGTACTCTAGAACCTGAACAGAAAAAACATTGGCCTGATTTTCTCCCAGAGTTGGTATATCTATACAACTGCACCCCCCATGCCACGACCGGCTTTTCGCCACACATGTTACTGTTCGGACGGGAGGCTCGACTCCCCCTTGACTTGTTCCTAGGAAAAAAGGAGAGTATGACTGGCTCATACACCGCACTAGAATATGTGAATGAACATATGAGACGAATTAGAGAAATGTACAGGGTGGTACAGGAAAGACTAGAACATGAAGCACGGCGAAGGGAACCGCCGGTACAGACAAAGGACCCGCCACTCAAACTGAACGACAGGGTATTACTGCGTAGCCACCCGTTAGGCAGAAACAAAATCCACGACCTCTGGGGACAGGAGATATGGCAAGTCGTGGAGATGCCTAAAATAGCCGGTGGCCCCTTTAAAATAAGACCCATCAATCACACCAAACAGGATCGGTGGGTGAATATTGCTCAATTAAAGAAATATTGGCATCGGCAAGAAGAGCATTTACACACAAAGAAACCTAAGACAATTAGGGAACCGGAAACTACAACGGAAATTCTCATACCCATCCCGGAACCATGTCACCAGCAACAGAACAACAGCGATACACAAGTGGAGGATAACGGCAACAAAGAGGATCCCGTTCCTCCCAGAAGCAGAGAGACAGTAGACCATCAGATAAGTGGTCCGCGGAGAAGTTTGAGAAACAGAAAGAATACGAAATTTTTCGTCAGCAACCATCAATTCTTTCATGGTCACGCTGGGATGAGAACAGACTGTTCAAAAGCTATAAAATTGAACTGGTGAAGACACCAAACGAAAAAAGGTGGATGTGAATTCTAGAACTGCTTTGTTTCTGAGGAATAGGATGCGAATTCTAGAACTGCTTTGTGTCTGAGGAATATGATGTAGACACATTTGATATGTTGAAATAGGGATAACTGTCAATCTTTTACGAATGTGACGACATTGACAGTGAGTGGAACAGTAATTTTTTTTTTTACGGTGTTGCTTTTGACATTGAAGGAGTGCACCTGCCAAGCGTTGTTTGTGGTTGAAAACACACAAAAAAAGGCGGGGGTGGATGTAACTAGGGTAGTTACCATACTATGGTTAACAACGTATTACAGTCTGATGCAACTGATAACGATCATAAAGCCACGGCGTATTTTGGGAAGGATACGACAAGCCGCTGTCAACTTTGACAAGACTTGGCTGACGTAACAGTGCAGGTGTTCTATTAATCGGACTGATAACAAGTCTAATAAAGACTGGTACGAGACAACTGCGTAGTAATCGGAAGGCGAGATATTCGGATTGAACATAACTATGATAGAACCGAATACGATTACGGATACGAGGGGATATATAGGAAAGTATGAGTTGGAGGCTAGAAGAGTTGGAGGCAGAACGTGGTTGAGGCTGGGCTGAGTAGGAGTATCAAGTTGGTTACTGAACGTTGTAGACGTATTGTGTTAATAGGGACGATAGACATGTGCATTCGGTTATGTGAAGACTAGTGAGGACGGTTGGGGGTCAGTTGATTCATTATATTATTGTGAAGCATTTCTTTTGATTCATGTAATAAAAGGATCAATGGTAAACCTGCATCTTCGAGTATCTATATTGTGGTCGATGTTGTGTAGAATGAGTAAATACACTCGTTAACATTTGGCACTACAAGCAAATAGACTCGTTACATATATATATATATATATATATATATATATATATATATATATATATATATATATATATATATATATATATATATATATAAATATATAAATCAATAAATAAATAAATATACATTTATATATAGTAACATATATTTATTTATATATACATATATATATATAGATAAAATTATGTATATATATATATATATATATATATATATATATATATATATATATATATATATATATATATATATATATGTATGTATATATACATATATATATATATATACATAATTATATACATACATAATTATATATTACACAGCAAAAATACACGTATACAAATTCACGTATATATATATATATATATATATATATATATATATATGTGTGTGTGTATAATATTGAATGTCCGACCTAATGTGTGTATTGAATACCCTTTATCCACTCCCTGTTCCTGATAGGGGGATTAAGAAAAAAAGAAATTACAATACAATAAAACACCATCCATCATGTAACAAAAGGGGGAAATGAATAGAGAACATAAATACTTCCGAGTTTTGCGTGGGATTCATGTGCAGTATTATTTCAATGCTCCATCGTGTGTGCGTGTTGGTGTATGTGAGTGATGTGTGGGAGTGGGAGTGTTTACGTTCGTATGAGTATGAGTGTATGTGTGTTAGTGTGTATGAATGTATGATTGTACAATAGCGTGTACGGGGTGTACTTAAATGTATAATTCCGGGTTTTAGGAAGCTTCTGGTCTCATTCAATCCATTGTGGGTGTAGCTCATACTAAATTCACCCCCCCCCCTTTTCACACACACTCACACACACACGCACACACTAATGAGGGCTTAATTGGCGCTAATATCCAAGACACCCGCGCTAATGCAGTTATAATTTGTGAATATTTTTAGTTCCTTATTCAACACGAAATCACCCCCCGCCCCCCTCCCCCTCAACCCCCACCGCCTCATACTAAACCCCAACGAAAACAACCTTTCCTCAGCTTGTTTTATATAACCATGGAACTGGAGACTTACTTAAAACCAGATCGAATGATTTGATTATAAAAACAAACATTCCGCGTTTCTATTCACTCGCGTCTATTTGCGTGGTCGCCGCTTTATGAAGTCCCCATCATTGAACTCAAGTTTTTAGCTGTTAATTAGAGTTATCTTCCCTAGAATACGCGGATAAGATTTATTAATGAGAAATACGACCAGACCGCAGGTTTTTATTTATTTATTTATTTATATTTTTTTTTTGAGGAAGAAAAAGAAATACGATTCTAATAAACTTTAAGGATTAAGTTTAACCATGTTTTTTTTTAAAATGCTGTGGTATTTTATATTTTTCCTGCTTTCGTACAGCGGTAAGGTTACCATGGTAACCTGGATACTTAGTCTGCTTTAAAACTGTTTATTCGTTTGTTTTGTGTTACTTCAAAAGAGCACGGCCGCAACACCTTACAAAGGTTACAATCAATACACATAAAGTAGACATTTAATTATTCGATTTTATTTTATTTTTTTTTGCGTAAGTAATCACGCTAATGCAAACGTTCCCATCAGTAAAGAACCATTAAATAAACACAGATTTTACTGAGAGACGAATGTTTTCTCACAATGGCCGAAAAAAAAATTTAAAAAAAAATGATTAAAAAAAGATTAAATAAATTTAGATTCCCTTTCATCTGCAGACCAACAGAGAGATTTTAATCTGCAAAGCGTTAGAACCACTTTCATCTACAGATCAACAGAGACAATATGTTCTAGTTCGCTTATCAAACGCCTACGAACACATTCTCATACATACACGACTAATTATGTGGTATATATATATATATATATATATATATATATATATATATATATATATATATATATATATATATATATATATATATATATATATATATATATATATATATATATATATATATATATATATATATATATATATATATATATATATTGTGTTAAACATTACCGTATCCTAAACAACAATCTAATTAATATTTTTTCTATCTAGCTAACACTGTGCAGCAACAATCTAGAAAAGCATTACTACGTGTATTCAAATAAAACACTTTGTAATTAAAATTAAAACTTTCTTAGAGCATTATTTATCTCCTTTGAAACTAAAAGTACTCTCCATATCTCTAATGCTGTTTCTTTTTTAAAAAATCTATTTATAGATACATGGCCATCTGTCACGTGATGCGACAACGGAACACCAAGCGCATGGCCCGCGTGATCCTCGTGCTGATCTGGGCCATCTCCCTGGCCCTCATGACCCCCTGGGCCGTCTACTACACCCACGACTTCTACGCCAACGGCCCACAGACCATCCCGATCTGCGTCGAGGCATTCCCTCACGAATCCTACAAAAAAGCGTTCTTTCTTGGCGTCATATTTCTCATGTGTTACTCCTTACCCCTGCTTCTCATCGGGGCGTGTTACTTCTTGATCGGATACCGGGTCTGGAATCGCGACGCCCCTGGGATCACCTCCAGCAAAGGCGTCATCGAGAAGTCCAAAGTCCGCGTCGTCAAGATGCTGGTGGTGGTCGTCTTGCTGTTCATGTTCTCCTGGATGCCGCTGTACATCCTCCGGCTGACCCAGGACTACGGTGACTTCGACGTCACGCACAGCGAGCGGGTCAACCGCTTGATCGCGCCGTTCGCGCAGTGGATCGCGACCTCGAACAGCTGCATGAACCCTCTGGTGTACTGTCTGTTCAGCCAGAAGATCCGCCGGCGGATCCGAGCCATGCTCTGCTGCACCAAACCGGAAGCCAGGAGCCTGTACTCGACACGCTCCACCTACAACAGCGCCTTGCAGCATAGCACCAGCACCCGAGACTCGCTCATGCTCGACAACTGCGTCAACGGGAACGGCGGGCACTTCTGCGGAACCGGAAGCCTGTACCACCATCGGCCGTCGCGACAGGACAGCAAGACGATACGCTGGAACAATGTCAGGTCGACCCACGTCTGAGTTATATTCTAGTCACGTGATTTTTGAACAAGGATTGTATTGTTCTAGTTTTTGAACTCTGATCTAGTCAGTATAAATCAGGTGGCCTGAATAATATTCAGATTTTAAGAAAGAAAGGAAAAAAGCGAAACAGGATAACACAGGAGCGTTATCGCTTCTATTTGAACCAAACACTTAATCCTGGATTAACCCCTGCATCACTGCCAATTTCTGTGCTTCGTTTTTCTATGGATAATAAAAAAAAAATCCTATGGTTAAAAAAAATGAAGGAAAACAAAAATACACGTTAATCCTTTATATTTTAATCTCGTTTTTTTACTTGAAAAATAAATATTGTTTTGTATGTTCAATCGCTTCAATTATGTACAAACATATTTTAAAATTCCTACATATAAAAAAAAAAGAATCGACTACCATTTCTATTGTGTATTGTTCTATATACGGATGTCTGGTAAAGTTCAAGCGCTTTTAAACAAATTTAAACAACAACGCGTTCGTCGTGATTAAAAAAAATGTTTTTAAAGAAAATAACATTTTTTTTTCTTTCTTTACTGCTTTGTGTACAAAAAAACTTAGTATTGTTCTTCTTGCTTCAGTTGCTCAAAACAACGTAAAAACACAACGGGGAGGGTTAAGAATAGATTTTTTTTTTTTAAATCTCATCTCACATTACAAAACGCAATGTTTAATTAACCCTGCTTACAAAAAAAAAAAAGGAAAACCCATAAAACGCCCATGAGCAAAACGATTCATCATTCTGCTGTATTTTTCTTTTAAATTCCATACCTCCTGTTTCTATGGTAACCGCTCCAGTGATACAAAAGGAAGTTTTAACCTTAACCCTGGGCTTGTTTACATGGACTTTAGAACCAGGCTGTTCAATGAGCGCATTGCCCCCCCCCCCACCTTATTGTAACATTTCTCCCCCCCCCCTTCAATTGTAACATTCCCTCCCCCCGTATCGTCTTTCCTATTCCCGGAAGGACTCTTGCAGTTCTATTTTAACTCGACAGTTTGTTTCTCCCGCATCACCCCCCCCCCCCCCCCCTCAAACATCCTCTCCCCCGTTACTCCACCATCTCCTAATTACCCCCCCTTCCCCACCATCCCCTCCCCAGTAGTCTAAGCACTCCTCCCCCAGTTCTCCAATCTCCAAAGAGCCGTGAGCATGATTTAGCTCATTGGTCTGATTTATTCCATTGCAGCCCCTATCCCCCCCACTTCCTCCTCGAAGCACATTCTTACCCCAACCCCCTCACCATCCCCATTCCCAGCTCCTAATAGTCTTACGGTTCTGTAACTCAATGGTCAAGATTTATTTAACCTCGGCATCTTACCACCCCCCCCCCACACACACACACTACCCCCCCCCCCCCCCCACCAGTTCCTCCTCCAAGCACCGCCCCACCCCACCTCCTCAACCTCCCCATTCCCAGCTCCTAATAGTCTTACGGTTCTATAGTTCAATGGTCAAGTTTTCTTTAACCTCGGCATCTCACCACCACACCACCACCCCACACTACCCCCCACCCCACAGACTCTCACACTCAATGATGAAGATTTCTTACGTCAACTTCCATACCCCCCACACACCCCCACCCTCCAAGAATTCCCAGCGTTTAATTAAAACTCCCCAATCCACTGCTCCGTGTGAGCCTCCCGTTTATTAAGAACCCGAAGAACGGCCATTTACAAACAAGTATCCTTGGTTCTATTTTTAGACCAGCTAGGTCCCTAGTGGTTAAAGGTCCCCCCTTAGAAAAAACAAATCTAATTACACGTTGGACAAAGTCAACATAACTTGGAGGAGATCTATTTTTAACCATTATAAAACATTCTTTTTTTCTGTCCTGGTTTTATAATTACTTCGTAACTCTTGTATAATTATACAAAAGTGTATTTTATCTTTTATGTTAAGTAACTACTCATTTTAAAAAATACGCATTTTTCCGGAGTTGTATCCCTAAGAAATCATACTTAAAACGTATATAACTTACGTATGAAAAATAATATTTTAAAATTAAAATAATCGTTGATATGCTTTTCTGCTTTAAAAATGTATTTAAATTTTTTTTAAAGTAAACAATGATTTACATTAAAATAATCCATAATATTTGCTCAACAAAATCATTTTCAAGCTTGATTACAAAATTTCACAATATTTTGGGATAAAGCTAACAGAATTTTAACAAAAGTATCATATTTGTTTGTATATTTTAAACCGAAACACAATGAGCATTATTAAAGCCAAAAGTCGTTTAATGAATTCAACTATTACAGAAAGTATGTTTTTTTTTAACTTAGGTCTAATCAGAGGCGTAGCGACCCTTCCCGGCGCCCGGGGACAAACTTTTCGATTTGCACCCCTCCTCAAGATTTCGATTTGCACCCACCCTCATATTTTCGATTTGCACCCCCTCCCCTCAAACTTTCGATTTGCATCCCCCCCTCGAGATTTCCATTTGCACCCCCCCCCCTCAAACTTTTGATTTGCACCCCCCTCAACCTTTCAATTTATTTTTCCAAACCATTTTGGCGCCCCCTAAGGTCGGCGCCCGGGGACATATGTCCCCCCCCCCCCGCCCCCCCCCCCCCTCGCTACGCTACTGGGTCTAATACAAATTATATTGCTTTAATTTAGAACACATCTATAATTGCGTGTTAGAGGTAATTTTACTCCAGCTATTTCATACAAAGCCAAAGCAACATAATCCACTATCGAACAAAAAAAAATGATAAACGAATCCCTCTTGATCCCCTACTGAAGTAAATCAATACCGCGAACAAATGATACTTAATGCTGATGGCCTACTATTTTTAGAGATAGGATCTGGCAAAATTTGTTTCGGTAGTTAGAAAAAAAAACAACAAGCAAGGATCTTTAATTGAGTTCACATTCGAAGGAAAAAGTTGTCGTTCGTGATGTGTTTTTGGACGCAGTCATTCAACTGATCCGAACTTTTACTTTTACACAATTAACGAACAAAAAATGTTTTTGAAAAAAATATCTTCTATTCGCTTTCCAGTATAATTCTTTCTTAAATGATTCTTTGTAAATTAAAAACAAAGTATTTACATGAATGACTATCACTTACTTGAGTATATATTATTCAGAATAGTTATACAATTTTTAACATCACTAAAACATAACTAAAAGAAACAGGTTGAAAATATCCTGTTACCTCTATACACAACTGATGAAACAAGCATTTGACCAGCTTGAAGCTTGCATGTCTCCTAATTTATGATTCTATAAAGTGGTTATTTACTCATTATAATTTATTTTTCGGTTTAGTAATTTTATTGTTATACATGAACAGACGTGATCAGATATGTTATAACATGGAGACCCACGTGATCATCGACCCACTATGACGCACACCACATCGACCCATATCCCAAAATAATACACATGCCACATCGACCCATATCCCACAATAACCCACACACCTCATCGACCTATATCCCAAAATAAGCCACACACCACGACCCATATCCCACAATAACCCACACACCACATCGACCCATATCCCACAATAACCCACACACCACATCGACCCATATCCCACAATAACCCACACACCACATCGACCCATATCCCACAATAACCCACACACCACATCGACCCATATCCCACAATGACCCACACCACATCGACCCATATCCCACAATAATCCACACACGTCATCGACCTATATCCCACAATAACCCACACACCACATCGTCCCATATCCCACAATAACCCACACACCACATCGACCCATATCCCACAATGACCCACACCACATCGACCCATATCCCACAATAACCCACAAACCACATCGACCCATAGCGCACAATAATCCACACACCTCATCGACCCATATCCCACAATCACCCACACCACATCGACCCATATCTCACAATAATCCACACACCTAATCGACCCATATCCCACAATAAGCCACACACCATATCGACCCATATCCCACAATAAGCCACACACCACATCGACCCATATCCCACAATAATCCACACACCACATCGACCCATATCCCACAATAATCCACACACCACATCGACCCATATCCCACAATAATCCACACACCTCATCGACCTATATCCCACAATGACCCACACCACATCGACCCATATCCCACAATAACCCACAAAACACATCGACCCATAGCGCACAATGATCCACTCGCCACATTAACCCATATCCCACAACGACCAACACCACAACGACCAACACCACAACGACCAACACCACAACGACCAACACCACAACGACCAACACCACAACGACCAACACCACAACGACCAACACCACAACGACCAACACCACAACGACCAACACCACAATGACCAACATACCACATGAACTCCCACCCCACAACGACTCATACCCCACAAGGACCCACACCCTACATTAACCCATCTCCCACAATGACCCACACACTACATCAACTCCCACCACACAATGACGCACACCCCACAAGGACCCACACCACACAATGACGCACACACCACACTAACCCACATACCACAATTATCCACACACCTAATCAAACCACGCCACACATTAACCCACACTCCACAATGACTCACAACCCCATAAAGCAACACCCCACAAAAAGCTATACCCCCACATTCCAAAATTACCCACACCATCATTCAAGCAAACATTCCCCCACACCATCTACCCCACACATTCTTTACAAATCAACCAAGTAACACTACCATGTAGCTATTCCACACACTATACCAACTTCACAAATTGATTGTGTCCCTTGATTGGCGTATGATGTCACATCTTGACCTAGGGTATACTGTAACTCAAAAATAAAAATTTACGAGACATCAAAGTAAAAAACTATAAAGTGCCTTTTATTTCCACTCTGTCTGTTTCATACTTGTCCTAGGCTCCTATTTAAAATAAAGTTTGAAAATATCAGCCTCAAATTTCATAAATATAAAAATCTTACATAATATCCTTGTTTCACCTTCTGTCATTACTTTACAAATACATTTTCAATTATAGTGGAAAAACAAATACATTTTCTTTAATTTGGCTACACACAATGTATGTACAATTATTGTGTAAACATCTATCTTTTGATACAAACCATAGAAAACAAGGTAACTTGGATTGTTCCCATCCCCTATCTTTAATTCAGTTACCAAATATGGTGATCAATATTCACATGAGTAATGGTCTACTAGAGAGGGCTGGATGTAAAATTTAGTTGTTAATTCATACCGGTGTTGGCTAAACGTATAATAAAGTAATCTTTCATAGGTTAATGTATTATTTTTTTATTCTCTTCAAATTTGGTGATATGTATATATATATATATATATATATATATATATATATATATATATATATATATATATATATATATATATATATATATATATATATATATATATATATGTGTGTGTATATATATATATATATATATATATATATATATATATATGTGTGTGTATATATATATATATATATATACC